CTGAGGGTTGCGATCCGTTGCCGGACACGGAAAAAGACAAAAGACAAAAAAAAAAAATACAGAGTGAGAAAGAAAGAATGTTCAGGGAGCAGTGAGTGGCTCAGGGTAGAGGGAGCAGAGTCTGGGTGGGCAATAGCAGGAGAGAATGGTTACAAAGCAACTTTTTCAGTCATGTACCTTGACAACTATACGTATATATGTATATAACTATACAAATATATATATATATAACTATACAAATATATATATATATATATATATACCGTTTTGGTGGCTGGCTGGAAAGGGGATATGATCCCTTTGAGCTTGGTGTTATAACATCATGCTCTAACCAACTGAGCCAGGCGGCCAGCTGTGACAACAATATTGACAAGACTGCCTCAAACCTAATAAGAAGCAAACGTGCTCTATACTTGTGCTAGATCGTTTTAAAATTACTTTCACATACAGGGCAGTTTCATACCAGGTCAGTTGTTCCTCAAGCAATCTTGAGCAGTGAAGGGCTGGGGTGAGATGGGGTCGGGGAGGGACGCAGTATGACCATTGAAAAGAAACACACTGAACAACGACAGAGCTAGGTCACCCTTGCTCCCATTCCACCTCCTGCTCTCTGTCTACTTCCTCCATCTGCCATCTTCTTTTAACATAAAGAGTAACAATATTCAGAGTAGGCATAAACCTGGTGAACAATTTATTATTCTGGTTTCTGCCCCCACCCAAAGAAAGTTCGTTTAAAAAAACTGCACAGTTAAGAAATGAAGAATGAAATCAACCATAAGCTTTCTGGTATAAGTAAATATGAAGGAGATGAATCTGTCACCGTGAGGCTTTATTCACCGAAACTAACTGGGATCAGAACCTCATGGAATTCATGTGGTTTTATACTGTCTTCCTATTTATAGTTGGGTATATATCTGGGTTCCTGATTCATCTGTTTAATTTTGCACTTACGTTACATTGTTTTAATTATTACTACTCTATAATATTTAGGTTTTGTTTGTTTGTTTTTTGGCAGCTGGCCAGTACAACTACTTTATAACATATGTTAGCATCTATTAGAGTGGCATCCACTCTCATGACTCCTCTTTTTAGAATTAAAATATGAGGCCAGCCCGTGGCTCACTCGGTAGAGTGTGGTGCTGATAACACCAAGGCCATGGGTTCGGATCCTATATAGGGATGGCCGGTTTGCTCACTGGCTGAGCATGGTGCTGACAACACCAAGCCAAGGGTTGACATCCCCTTTCCAGTCATCTTTAAAAAAAAAAAAAAAAAAGAATTAAAATATGTGTGTAGGTAGGTCCATGATACTTTTCACACATGAACTTAGCACTGTCTCAAATTTAAAATTACATGGCTTTGTTTTAATGGCCTAAACCCATAAATAATTTGATAGGTTTGCTTTTCCAAATATGCAATTTCTTCATCCAGTAAACTGGTCTGTGTTTTCATGTATTAAAGTCCACTATTAATTAAGAAGACTTGAATAAAGTTTTGTATTTCTCTTCATATATTCTCCTTGCCAAAATTATTTCTAAGCACTTAATATTTTTGTAGTTATTGGGAACAAAGTCTCTTTTTCATCATATTTTCTTATTGCTAATATACAGAAATGGTCTTAAAGTGTGTATATTATCTTATGTCTTCTTATTGGACCCAACACTATTTTCCATTTTCTTTATCTGAGGTATTTAATTAATTTTATTAACTTGAATCAATTTTTAAAAGTTATGTAGCTATATAATCATGTATAAATATTGATATATTGCCTTCTTTTGAATATTTTTACATCATGTCTAATACATGTTTTGTTGCACTGGTCAGAACTTCTAAAACAATATTATAAGAAAGTAACTGCACCTTACATCACAGGCAAAAGCTAATATACTTTATGTAGAGAAAACTACTACCAAGGCCAGAGAAAAAAAAACAAGAGAAAAATGGACTAAGGATATGAATAGACAGTTCAGGGAGAAGGAAACACAAATTCTTAAACATAAGGGAGAAAATGTCCAACCTCATTTACAATGAGAAAAATGCTGTGGTGACTACCAAGGCCAGAGAAAAAAAAACAAGAGAAAAATGGACTAAGGATATGAATAGACAGTTCAGGGAGAAGGAAACACGAATTCTTAAACATAAGGGAGAAAATGTCCAACCTCATTTACAATGAGAAAAATGCTGTGGTGCCATTTTTCACCCACCAGATTGGCAAACATCCAGAAGTTTGCTAACACTTTCTGTTGAGAGGCTGTGGGAAAACAGGTGCTCTCATCCACTGATGGTGGGAATGTAAATTGATTTAATCCCTATAAAGGACAATTTGGCAATATCTGTCAAAATTGCAAATGCATATGCCCTTTGACCCAGCAATACCACTCCTAAGAATTTATCCTATGGGCATATTTGCACACATGCTAATCAACTTATGTACAAGGTTATTCATTGCAACATTGTTTGTAATATCAAAAAATTGGAACTAATCCAAATGTTCCTTAATAGGATACTGGCTAAATAAATTGTAGTATATTCATTAAGTGGAATACTATGCCACCAAGAACGATGTTGTGCTGATAAAGAAAGATCTTGAAGATAAATTGCTAACAGCAACAACAACAAAAAAAACAAAACAAGGTACAGAACAGTGTGTATGTGTATGGTATGCTACCTTTTTTGGAGGGAAAAATAGCAGAATAAGAGTGTATATT